TTCCCGCTGTAATCCCTTCTCCTGAGATCGTCCATCTCCTCTCAGGATTTTGGACATACACACACATGCACCCAGCATATTTTTCAGGTCTCCTGATCAGGACTTGAACTGTGCAGTTAGCCACATGGGGATCAGCTGTGTTAGTCACTGTATTACTGGCTGACCAAGGCTCTACACTTTCTAGCAGAAAACAAAGAGGAAAAGGATCAGTTAAACAATTCACACTGTTCATAAGATTAAAAACAGACCAATCAATTTGCAGAGGCCCATGTAGGAACATCCTGAAGAGTCTCAGAGAGGAGAAAAGAATGAAATGAGTAAGGTCTTCCACTTTTCTCTATGTATTGCTATATTTCATTGTATTCATCCTTATATAATCTTTCAATATGATGAAAGTCATAACAGCAAAGTATCATTTATTCTTTTTAAACATAATACATGTTTTATTGCTTAGTTTTTTTAATTGCCAGAGCGTTCATGTGCTTGAGAGAGACAGAATCCTTTTCTTTCTCCCCTCTCAATCCAAAATGTTTAATCACCACATTGTAACCACCTCTCTCCATGAACTCTGAACTCCTTAAGAGCTCTGAAATAAGTTATGGTCATACTACAATACTTTCTCCATTTCTCCATCCTTTTGGGATTTTAGGCACCCACACACATGTACCTGACATGTTTTTCAAGCCACCAGGGCCAAAGATACAAAGTCATATGACATGGTTGGCCATATGGGATCTGGCACCTTCAACCACTCGGCTACAGAGCCAGCCCAAGGATAATAATTATTCTATGATGAATTAATAAAATATAAGTATGTACTTTTTGCTGCTTTGGCTAAATCTGTAAATAGATTTTAACAGTGTCAGCAATATTCTCAGCCAAAATTTCCCTAACGAGAGATTTTTTTTTTGGTCAGTACAAAAACCTTAGATTGTTGAACAGGGAGAAGGAATGACGTTTTGTAACACAAATGAAGTAGTTTTTAAATGAGAATCTCAGACACCTGAATATACTTTGACCTACTGGCTTCCAGATGAAGTAGGGAGTCAACTGTAGCTCACTAGCGGTTTGGAGGCAG